ATTTTTTATTGATATATAATGATTTTTGGAAAATTGAAGTACTTATAATATAATATTGATAGTTATATTAAGTCTCTAATCAAGATTAAATAATTCGTTTGACAATTATGATTGTGTTGGTTAAACATTGATATTTTGATTGATTGTATTTTTATATTTTGTGCATAGGGGGAAATACAATTTTTAGGGGAAACTCTGTCGAATTATTTAAAAATTATATAATGATTCTGGTTTTCATTAATTTTATTACAAATGTGTAATATTTTTAATTGGCTAATTGAGATAACTTGAAAGGTTCTCTATTTATTCATCTTAGTAGAATCAGATTACATTTTAATTTTATTCAAAATTATAACTACAATTATGTTAATGATATATAATGTAATTTTTTACAATGTTTACATTCTGGAAAATAATGTTGCTAGAGGAAACTATGCTGAAATTTTTTTACATTTATAATGAATTGTTTCCAATTTAAACTAATTAATTTTATTCAAATTTAAACTAATTTTATTATGTCCGTATTTATAATTATATTGAATATTAAGGTTGTTTATAAACAGTTGAGTATCTAATAATTTTAAACTTTATTGAATGATATAATATATTATATGATTTATTGCAGGAAAGATTAAATGCAGAGGCTAGTCTAAAATATGGAGAGGATAGCACTACATGGCCAACAACAGTCGACGCCCAGCTTTTATCCCAAGTTTCGGGTGGACCATCAAAGGATGGGCGATTGTACGGCATGCCTATGTACATGGACCCTGAAGAGCAAAGGGTGTCATATCGAAAGTATCCTCGGCACACTATAACTAGTAATTCTATTCAATCATCCCAACAAGTGGTGCAGTTACAAGAAACCGTAACAACATTACATGAGAATCAACAGACACTGGAAGAAAAGTTTGAAAGGATGGAGAGAATGCTTTTCATGATGCAAGGAGGGATGCAAGGAGGGATGCAGGGGGGGATGCCAGGAGGAATGTAGAAGGGGATGCCAGGAGGGATGCACGGAGGGATGCCAAGGGGGATGCAGGGATGGATGCAGGGAGGGATGCCGGGATGGATGCAAAGAGAAGGAGGGGCTGGGACAAGTGGGGGAGCATAATAGGCGTTGCTCTCAGTTGATCTTTGTATCAAAACATCTTGTTCTATTATATATTTTAGGTATGTATGAGATTAAGGCATTAAGATTAAGTAATTAGTATGTTAGGTCATAAATTGTTTAATTATGGTATTAGACTGTGTTTTATATATATGTGCTTCAATTTTAAAGCTTTTACTGACATGTTTTAATATATATTAAAACATATAACTAATTAATTGGTAGAATTGTTTATATTAAATTATTTATAAAATTTATATAAAAAAGTTTGAAACAAAGAAAGCAAAAAGAGAAAAGGTGACGAAATAGGAAATAGAATAACAATTAAGGGATTTCATTAACTGATGTATATATATAGGGATGCTGCTACTTCCCTAAACTCAATAAAACGAACTGGTGGTCACATGAATTCTAAAGAGGAGATGCACTTTCTGGGATGATTATTTCGGTCAGTGGATATGACCGAAATAATGAACCATTTCGGTCATTAATGATGACCGAACTAGTGCATGCATGCCCAACTTAGGTATCTTATTCCTCACAAAACATAACCCAGGAATTGGGTGGCGTACTATGGTTGGCTTAATTCGGTCATAACGCTTGACCGAAATAAGCAAACATGTGGACTAGTTCGGTCATAATCCTTGACCGAACTATTGCATGCATGCACGATTGTGCTTGACGAATTCAAAACAAAAATAAGCGCATTGGGTTTAGAATTATGCATATTTCGGTCATCATTAATGACCAAAATAAGTACAAAAAAATTGCCCCCCTCAGAATGCATGGCTATGGATATGCTTATGCATATTAATTCGGTCAAACATATTGACCGAATAAATATTGGAACAAAATATCTCATCGAACCGACATGGAGGATTGGATGGTGATAGTCTCAGATTTGTTCGGTCAAATAAATTGTCCGTAAAATTTTCTTTTTTTCCTGTTTTAGTCAAAAGTTCTGACTGGCATTGAAATTTTGGTTTTCGTGTGAAATTTGATTATTGATTGGAAGTAAGATTCTTTCATGTGCCAAAAATTTTTTGTTTTTTGTGTATCTTTAGTCAATATAAGTAGATGTTTGCTCTTTGCTCATAAACTGTCTACTTCTTCTTACTCGTATGGTTTGGTGCTTTGTAAATTTTATCAATCTTATTTTGCTGCTGGGAAGAGAGACAAATCAAGAGCTGCTGCTATTTGTTGAGGTATAATATTTAGTAGTTTTTGAGGATTTTAATTTAAGAAAAGTACAAGTATCTACAATCTTTCATTTTTTTTCTTTTGAGTTTCCATTATTTGACCTCTTTTTAACTACTTTTTGGCCATAATTTAATTTTAAATGCAATATTGAATTATTGTTAGCAATTATGTTGCACACATTTGTCCAGATCTAGTATTTTCTCTAGTTATTTTGGGTTGAGGTTTGTAAAATTTAATGTTATAATTTTTTTGGTAATTTAGATTTAATCAGAAGAACACATAATATTTTTAAATATGCTATTTGTTCTTCTATCATAATCTTCATTTCCAATAGTAGATTTCTTACTATTGATTAATTGATTTTATTTGTACTTTGTCAAGGTACTTAAATTTTTGGTTTCGGGTGCATCTATCCCACTCAAATAAGTCATTTCTTATTCATTTTTCTGAATTAAAAATCAGTCAAACTACAAATATGTTATATAAATTTTTTTTTCTTTATTTTTTGTAAAAATTTAGTTTAGAAAGAAATAAAAAAAAATATGATTAGTAATTAGGAATGTATGATTAAATAAATCAAATAATTTATTATAAAATACTGATTTTATTATTCAATTAAATAATAATCATATTGATTACCTTAATTAATTAATTGATTAGAAAGTTATGATTATATGCTTTAATTGTTAAGTAAACTATAATTTATTAATTGTTTGATTGCTAAAAAACTATAATTAATTAGAATGTATAATTGATTGATTAATAATTTATAATTACATATTTAAGTGCTAAGTAAACAAAAATATGTTTATTACTTAATTGATTATAAAAGTATGATTTCATTTTTTTTTATGGATGATAAATAATGATTATTGATTGATTAATTAGAGAATTATGATTATATGCTTTAATTGTTAAGTAAATTATAATTAATTAAATTGTTTACTTCATTAAAAAATTCTAATTAAATATAATGATTATAATTTATGACTAATTAAATCATAATGGCATATTTAATTACAAAGTAAATTTTGATTAATTTAATTAATTAATTGATTATAAATTACTATGTTAATTAATGGACAGTTAAGATTACTTATAAAGGAAAATGGACAATCAAGATTACTTTAATAGCTATGTTTCGGAAAGTCAACCAGACTTTGGCAGCCAAATGGATAGTCAACCAAATTTTGATATTCAAATGGATAATCAACCATACTTTGACAGCGAAGTGGACAGTCAACCATATATTGACAGCCAATATAATGGTATAATTTCTTTTTCTTTTTCCCTCGCATAACTTTTTAATTCATGTAGGTGCATACCATTTACTAACATATTACTTAATTTAATGTTAATTTTAGCAATTGTTGAAGATACTCTAGAATCATTATGGGATTGTCCATCTCGAATTCCTCCAAGGAAAAAGTTGACAAAAGCAAGGAATCATATAGTAATGTCCCAAGACATTCCATTACCTAAAAAAGAAGGGAACGTTGTCTGCCAAATATGTGATGTTCCTGGACATTTAGCTACTATATGCCCACTCCGATATGCAGTAACTTGTCAACTGTGTAACCATGAGGGTCATACTGCAAAAGTTTGCCCAAATCGTTACCTTCAACGTGAAGTCATGTCAAACCCATCCACAACACCTGCTGAGTTCTCTGAAACTATCACAAAGATTTTAGGTAATGGTCGTTGGCGTCTCAAATTTGTGAAAAAGTCTTGGGATGAGGCATGTGAAAAATTACGTTCTATTCAAGAACCATAATATCTTTACTTTACCCACAGCTAACCATAAAAGCAGGACACTAGCTACTTAACAGGGTTTACCATGAAATGAGCTACAAGAGGCTGGGGTAATACGGAAAGCACAAGGAATAGAAATAAATCCTGCCAAGGCTACAAAAGAACACTTGTGGGGTTACGCTACGAACCCATCACAAGACGAGTTGACAAAGAAGGGCATGGATTGAAATATGAGTACAACAAAACTTTGAACTCTATCAAAGACGGATAAGCATCCAATGGATATATGGATCATAAATGAATGAGTGAGTGCATGGATGCCTTATACATTCTGCCACAAAACAAGGTTAACCCATAAGCAGGGTCATGTTTAACAAAGCAACTGGAATCAAGAAACAGATTTTAGCAATTAACAAGAGTTAAAAGCTAGGACCATCAAAAGACATGTAAGAATCTCAAGAATTGCAACAAAATAAAATTAATGGAAAATATGAATGCTTGGATGAATATTGAAACATAAGAGTGTAAGGTGGAATGCCTCAAAAATTCAGCAACAAAATGGCATTCACCTAGAGTCAAGATCAAATTTAACCAAGCAGTCAAAATTGAGAGACAAAAGTTACCCATGAAACAAGCAATAGAATTCCAAAAATTAGGCCCACAAGAGATTCCAATAATGACAAACAGAACACGGATTCAAGAGCAATTACAATCAGGATGTCAAGATCTAGCACCTCAAGTACTAGAATTAATTAACAGAACAAAGCAATGACTGGGATCAAGATGCTTAGAAGATTCATGTCTTCCAATTAAAAGGGCAAACAAAAAATCCAAGCAGCCAGATCAAAGAACCATTTCACTTGGAACAAAACTCTAGGGCATCAAGTATTTCAAGGACTACCCCTTTACCTCGTAGCTCATGGAGGCAAGGCTAAGCAGATTTTCAATCAGGTCATCCTAGAGTCAAGTCAAAGCTAAGGCATCAAGAATACAAAATTTAACACTTACAAAAGACAAAAATTTAGAATACCTCATATAGGTATCTTCTAATAATCGTCACCCCTCTTAAAGAGGTGTCCATATGAACAAAAATCAAAAATCAAGAAGATCAAGAAGTATACCAAAACAAGAACTAGCAGAATATGCAAGATTTGAGCAAGAGCAGTATACCGAATTTGAGCAAGAACCAGTGTCAGAACAAAAATGGTTTTCAAGGACAATTCAAACTAGATTCTAAAAACCAAATATCAATTGATTTTCAAGAATAGATTCTAAGAACAATGCAAGGATTAATTTCAGACAAGTATCAAGATAATGAGGATTTCAATAATCATTATCCACTTCCTTTGGATTTCAGTTTCAAGAACAAGTACAGAGCAATATCAAGAAAGATTCAAGACGGATTTCAAGAGTTTCAAGCAGTTTCAACAGACATCAAGAATGTAGAGATTGGCAACAATATAGAGTTTAACTTTATGACAGCTTGCCAATCTTCACAAAACAAGGCAACAATTTCAATTGAATAATCACTGCTCTTGATTAACCAAATACAGAAAAATGAGCCACATGAAAAGACCATGAAGCTCCAAACGGAAAAAGTGAAACTTCATTAGAAGACTTTCAGAAGATAAGGAGCAACGGAATTACCAAGTAATCCAGCTCCTAAAACACATCTAGAAAACACACAACATTTGCTAAAATAGCCTGCAATCTCTTACAAAGTCGAGGGTTGCCCACCTTCCACTGGTCATGTGACAAACAGAGCAAATTTCTCAACCAGCTATGTTGTAGAGACAAACAGAGTCAATAACAAAAGATCTCTACAACTCCCCAGATTTCAACATTGTGGCAAAAGAGCATACAAAACAAGTCTAAACAAGTGCGGACTATCAGAAAATGACCAAGTTTCAAAACAAGGTCTTCAGGACATAACAGGCAAGATTACTTTCACAACTTCACACAGAGTATGAAGGCAAGAAACAAGAACAATCAGATCACCATCTCATCGAAATGGATGAGAAAATTCAGGCAACGTGAATCAGAATCGTCCCTTATATAACCCCATCACTTATCTCACCACGATTCTAAAATCCACTGGCTAGCCAAGTCCAAAACAAATCCTAGGTATTTACATAAACCTAGGCTCGGATATCACTCAATCTGAAGGTGCTTAATTTAATCTTAAGCTCTTAATTTCAACCTAAGCTTTGATACCACTAAATCTCCAGATATCTAATTTAACCTAAGCTCTAATACCACTAAATCTGTCACGGCCCAAAACCCAAATTCGAGACGCGACAGACGCCGTGCACTCGTGAGACGAGTCCCACAAATGCACAAGGCTCAGAACTTATCACACCACAATCTGATACCATAAAAATCTGAAGATCAAATCTTTAAAATTTACTCCGATATCATAAAAACTCCAAGTACACTCTAGCTTACAAGATCATGATTTCTAGAATCTATATCAATCTCGAAATGGGTAGCCTTCTAACTCATCACTTCCCGTGGATTCCCCGTCCTCGGTTTCATTTCCTGAAATGGTGGACAAGGAAAAACTATGAGATAAACTCAGTAAGTAAAATATGGAGTGCCCCTTATCAAACTTAAAGCATGCCAACAAGTACAATCACGAAAACAGATACAGTACGGGCACGAAATAGACGTCTCCTCTATAGGTCATGGCCAGCGTTTATAAACCTCCCACTGACGGGCACACGATTTGCTGGTGTATAACCCCCACAAGCAGGGTTGAACGAACCGGCTCTATCACTAACATGTCGACATGTGCTAGCGTTTATAAACCTCCCATTAGCGGGCACACGAATAACATGACCATATCGGAGACAAAACAGGCAGAAGTTAACAGGAAAATCACAATTCACAATCACTTTCAGATCATCAGGACAGTCACTTAAATTTCAAGTAGGCATGCTCAATTTCATGAAAAGCATAAAACATTTCACTTCAAATCAGTCATACTTGTGTAAAACGGGTTTAGTCCCGCCACCACTTCAAAAACAAATCAAAACATGCTTTTAAAACAGTACGAGCATTACCATAAATTTACTTACCTCACTTCGCAAAACCGAGTACTCAATTCACGCACTAACTGACAGAACGATCAAGAACCTAATCAAAATATTTCAAGAATTAATACCGGGCTATCACAAATTCAAGCTGAAATCATCATTAGGATCATTCCTAATCACAATGCTATTTCTATCACTTTCCACATGATCAAATATCTCCAAATTCGTTCTTATATCACAAACTAATCACTTACGGGATTTTCTCCAAAAATCACACAGCAATCAATTAACACTCAATCACATAAATCTCACTTCAATTAATACTTAAATCTCATCCTAAAGCTACCGGAATTATCCCCCATTTTTAGCCAAATTCAAACATTGCAAAGCAGCAACTTTAAATGGATAATTTAAGCCTTAAATGGCTGTCACATACCATAATTCTCCAGCTAAAACCAGAGCTGCAGGGGGGAGTTGCCGGCGGCAGTGCAGAGGAAGCTCACGGGAAATCTACCCAAAAATTGGAGAACCAAGAGCAATTAAGGCAAACCCAAGGCAATTCAAAGCTAAAGAAGGGAGATTCATGGTTGTTTCTTACCCAAAATCAAAGAAATTCGCCCCCACAAAGCAGGAGCAGAGCAAGGCAAATCCGAAAGCTCCCTGGCAGGGAGTAAGATTTTCTAGGTTCAAATCTGGTTTTGAGCAAGAAAAGAAGGATAAAAACCAAGCTTTCTCACCAATTTTTCAAGCATGCAAGTCGGCAAGCTTGGGGGGGGGGCTATCGGGATGCAGCGGGAAGAAGAGCAGAATCGAGCAAGGCTGGGAAGAAAAGAAAGAAGGAAAAAGAAAAAGAAAAGAAGCCATCCTTATCCAAATTCTTTTCCCTTTTTAAGTCCCTCAGCTTTCAAAATATTCACATTATGCCCCAAAACAATCTTTTCTCACAATCAAGTCCTTAACTTACACTTAAATATTCCTGAAAATTTGGGATATTACACGTATTGACCAACCTATTAAATTAAAATATTATTAATTATTTCGGTCATATTTTTTGTCTGAATGTAATCATTTTTTACTATTTTTTGAGGTACAATTTCGGTCATTTGTTTTGACCGAATTATTCATATATTTCGGTCAAGATGAAAATTTCTCCAAAATAGTATTTCGGGGAGGCCATATTCGGTCCAACAAGTCGGTTAGTTTTCTTGACCGAATTGTTTTCTATTCGGTCATAATATGCACTATTTCGGTCATTGTCCTTGACCGAAATACTCCCAAAATCTAGTAGTGATATATACTTCAATATTAACCTCAAAATTTCAGCACCAAGAAAATGACATTAAGACATTAAGACATTTCAGAAAATTATGAGAATTCAGCATACTTTCTCTCCCTTTTTGTCATTCATCAAAAAGTATATAAACATAAGCAATAAACTTCCCCCTTAATTCATGCTATCAATCTTTAAAGCATCAAGAATATGTAATGAATATAATTATCAATCATCATCAATATAGCACCATAGATAATCAAAGTCATGAATACAATCATCAACCAATAAACTCCCCCTCAATAAGAGCATATAATCATCAAAATCATAGACAATCAATACCAAAAGTCATGCCAAGGCTGGGCTAGTTTGTGCGAGGAGAGAGAAACCCGAATGAGTTAAAAAGTTGCAGGAGAGCCGGATCTAGTCTTGGAGCCAGCTCAACTTTAGATAGACAAGAGTCTCGGGTTTTTGGGTTGAGCCGACTCTACTGGCCTTGATTGGGACAAACAGAAAGTTTGGGACTGTTTTGAAGACAATGCATCTTAATTTGATATTTCTTCATTTAACTAAGTTTAAATTGGACATTAACTACTAAATAATGCAACTTTAGTTATATATCCATGCATCATCAAATATCATGAATATAATCAAGGTATACATACTAAGGTCATCAATATGCATAAATTCTAATAAGCAAATACATTAATTTCAAAAGCCATATCAAGCACTAGGATCTAACATGCCAAGCTCATTAATTTGCATAAATTTTAATAATCACATCAAATGATATCATATTCAACAAGCATATATATCAAAGAGTGAACACA